TCTTTTCACGCATAAGATTTTGCACAAATTTTGCAGAAATGAATTAGATATATTACATGATCAGTACATACTGACCCCTGCTGACAAAGCATGCAGCTAACAATAATGTCTAAGTACGGCTAATTATATATCATATATTTATTATATTAATTGAAAGGTGTCTGTATAATAAAAACTAACACTCTACTGCCATCTCATACCGCTCAAAACTAAGAATACGTAGTATTCTAAGTTTTGAGCGGTATTAGAAAATCATCTACACAGAACTAAATACTTCATCTGTAACACCTCATGGGGTACACTGACATAACCAAATACTAGTATCAGCTTAAAATGTGCAATAAAGGATATGGAGATAACGGACAGTATTCAATATCAAAGTCCATAAAACAATTCAAAATAGGAGCTGAGCAAACACGGACCTCCGAAACATCAGAGGTGGGATCAGGTGCCGTGGAGGAGTGAGCATCCACTGCTGACCAGTCACACCCGCCGTGTGCTCATTGTCATAATCGGGAAATAACGGAAAAATACGTCGTCAATTCAGTGTATACATAACGTACTAACAAATGGTATGAAAGTATTAGTTTGAAAAATTAGTTTACAAGTGTGTAGAAAGAAAAACTGATGAGACGGACAATAGAATGAAGAGATTAATATAAATGGAAAAGAAGCAACAAAAATAATAAAAATACTTCTCTTTTGATACATAAAATCTAAATGTTTAGATTGAATGTTTCCAAAATATACAGATGATTTTATCTTTCTCAGTCTAAACGAAACATTATTTGTATACTATTCTTAGAATATGTTGCATATGATCAGTTTTCAGAAATATCGAAACCACTTAAATAATAAATATATATATTTGTGATATCTCTCCATTATATAAACATACAGAGAGTAAATATCTTCAATTCTGTATGAAGTTGTCAGAGGTCAGAGGTCAATACGTGACCTAATCACACGGCGCAATAATATCTACAGGTATAAATTATAAAATGACTTGCTCTATACTTGCTTTTCATGTATAAAAATAAACAAAATAACCAAGTAAGATAATAATTATTTTATTTACAATGCAAACCAGTATTTCATACAGTTTTTTGGCTATCGATTCAACCTGTGTACATGGAGAATAGGCCTATTGAATCTAGCCTTTGTTTACATTTTTTCTTCACTTTTGTCAGCTTTATTTTTTAGTAGACCTTTAGTTAAATTTTCATGATAAATTATTATATTTTCATTATATTCTACTCACGATAAATATGTAAATCTGTTTTAAAAATATCATTCATTCACGCTTACAAACACCCCTGCGTTGTCGTAGTTCAATGTAAGCTGTCGCCAGTGTCTCCGTGTTAACATGATAAATATCCCTTTAGTTATTGAAATCGTAGATTGAATGTTTTTGATCAAATTTTAAACTTGATTGCAAATTAACTGGCTCAGACAAGTGTCTCAATCTATCGGATCCACCCATCCCTTTCCGCCGATCGAAATTCCTCCAACTTTTTATCATCAGACTTCGTACGTGTTTCTTGTGTCTTTTCAGCATCGATTATCAATTTTCACGAATACAAAATATTCCCAGACAACAATCTGTTCACTATTACTGATCACAGATAGCCTTTCACAAAATATTTCCCTCGAAATAGATTCCTTAGCCTAGTGAATTCGAAGCGTAACCGCCTTTCAAGCCGATTTACACCTTGAGTACTTATGTTGGAAATCTACGGCGACCGGTTAGTGCAATATTTATATCCGAATAGATTTAATTGTCCATCTCAAATGTATATATAAGTAATAAATAACAAGTTTATAAACTTCAATGGGAATTGAAGTGGGTCGGTACGTGATCAAATCTTCTGAGAAGGCCTTCGGCCTTCACAGGATTTGATCACGTGACCGACCCAATTCAATTCCCATTGAAGTTTATAAACATGTTATTTATTTCTTAAAATAAGGTGTCAAGGGAAGTCCTTCAAGAACTTGTCACAAGAAAACAAATAAGGAACAGGGATGGAACAAAATTTTTTAAAGAAACACATTTGACTAAAGTAGAAGTTGACACATTTAAAGTAACATTTCCTTATTTCTTGCCACAGTTGATGATACTGAAATAAAAAAATAAAAGCTTTTTGTTAGCATAATTATGCATTTAAAAAAAATTAAATTACTTCATTCATATTATACAGTCATGTAATCATTGCAATAAGGTTTAGGAATTTTCGTGATAACCCTGAGGGCAATGGGGATTGAAAAGTATTCTTTAAATACAAAAAGCCCCTTTCAGAATTTAATTGCACCCTTAAGGTCAAATGAGGTTAGAAAATGAGGAATTTTTTTAAAAAAATACATAAAATAGCTTCTGCTTCCAGAACTACATTTCACACAGTATTTTTACCATCTTTAGGAATATGATTTAAGGTGTCCTGTTGAGTGAAATAAGGTTTCAGAATATTTTGCACCCCCGGAATCAAATGGTGGTCGAAAAATGACGTTTCCTGTAAAACAAAATGCAAAATAAAAAACTAGGTTTCCAGAAATCCCCTCACATTTAATGCAATAGATTTATTGGTTGGTGGTAGTTACCGTAGATATGCAATTAGGGTTTGAAATTTTCAGCTTCGCCCTAAGGGTCAAAAGGGGATGAAAAATACCCTGGTTGCCAGAATCTACCTTTATATATGTTGTCTCGAATCATCGGGTATCGCAAGGTTTAATATTGGTCCCATCTAGTTCGAGACGACGAGATTTGGCAGAATCTATTTTTTAATAACCATGGCAATATTATTCAAGGAAATCAAAGAATACAAACATAAACATAATACATACATGTATATATCTAAGTATCTTCAGTTGTTAGATATTGTAATCAATCCGTTTATGTTAATTATACACTAACAATGTTCAAAACAAAACAGTCAACAGAGAGTTTGATCAGAGAAACTCACCAGAGTCTTCAGCTCACCCTGACCTAAAGCACTTGTCTAACAAAATTCTCAATACATAATTCTTCTTAAATGATAAGTATATATGTAGAAATTTTTCCATGAAAGTTCCATGTTCCATGATAGGACTATATGCCGTATATTGCATTTTTTAGCACCCACAAAGTAATATTTTCAAAGGACAACGTATGGAAATACGCTGAATCCGGTTCCTTATTTGAGGCAAAAATCAGAACACAGTTAAAACTGAGATAGTTTTAAGTTAAGAACTTAAAATGATATACTTGCTTTAAAACCAGCACTAATTTTGATTCAAAGCATACACAGAGGCCACAAGAGGGTGCAGAAATACGACGTTTTCTCGAATTTCCTCAATTCTGGTAGAATCTCGTGCATGATATATTTGAATTTGGTAGATAGGCAAGCTTGTGCTCTATGTTTTTCGAAAAAAAAATGTGCTGTAAAATTAATTAAAATTTGTATAAAAATGAGAAAATTTAGAAATTGACACATTTTCTGACCTTCCTGTTACCTCTGTGTATCCCATAACTAAGAACCAATAATCATTTTGTGGCAGGGGTGATGAGTGGTTTTCAATATTTTTAAATTGTTGTATCATTCTAAAACCAGGGGCCAAAAAAGGATCTCACCCTATTTTGTTCTTGAAATGTGCTGAATTATTTTTTTTTTAGAAATATAAATTAACAAAAAAGAAAAGAAGATAGTTTCAAAGTAGGTTAGTGACAATTTTCGTTTTTATGACGTTACAAACTAGTCGGACTTGGTATCATTTTTCAGACAGAGGACAAATGGACAAAATGTTAACAATTTTAACTATAAAGATTAAGCGCAGAACCGCTCCAGAACAATATTTACATATTTCATTGATTTTATCATTTTACACTTTATATCAAAATATTGAGCTGGAGCAGACCTGTGCTCGGTGTCGTTTACTCAAAATATCGACGTAATAAATACCTATTTCTGTAGAAATCATGGACATTTCAAATTTACGTCATTTTCCTGACGTCATTTCAAACATATGACGTCATTCTCATGAAAATATTCAGTGTTTCGAAGTCTGCACTGAAGTCTCATGTATGGAAATAATACCCAGAAGGGTATGTTTGGAACAGGTCAGGGTCTATGTAGGTAATTTCTAAACACAATTTTGGCATGCTCAAAATATGCAGTTTATCATGTTTTTGTTATGGATTTAAGAATTAAACTCACTTGTAGTTTCTTTTTGACTTTGATAGAAGGAACAATGCTCAAGAAATTTATTTTAAAAAGTTTGCTTTAAAGGGGCATGGACACAGTTTCAGCTAAAATTTCAAAATTTATTTTTCCATTTTTACAAATGTTTAACTAGGGTCTTTCAAATGATCATCAAAAATTTAAACGTCCGTTGTCCAGATACGTACAAGAGAGATTTAGAGATCCAAACCATTGTTATGTAAACAAGGCTAGTGTCATGTTTTCGTTTACACAGTTAATATACTAATATGTCGTTTAAAGTAGATAGTTTCAAATAAAAGTTAATTTTAAATACGATTCGACAGTTACTATTGATTTGCTGAACTTCATTTTGTTATAAATATATTTTCTATATGTAAACAAAAACAAGGCACGAGCCTTGTTAACATTATGAAGAACTTTAAGTTCTGTATCTTGTTTGTTAATCAACAAATGGATATAAATCAATAGATGATTCTTTAGGTAGGAATTGTAAACATTAAAATTGGTTTAAAAAATCAGTTGAAACTGTGTCAAGGACCCTGTAAACTTGACCACCAACCTAGAAACTTGATGTTTATATAATCCAGGTAGAGCCAATTTCAAGCGGAGAAAAAAAACTCTGGACAATGAATCTTTACAAATATTTAATCTTTTTACTTTGACCTTTCATCTATAAAATTAGAAGGAACGTATGTTGTGTACAAGATTATTTTTATGCAAAAACATTTTCTGGCATTGACATTCCATATAAAAAAGTTGGTTAAATGTCACTGCACTTTTTACACAACTGCATCTAATGGATAAAGTATGAGCCCAACAGAGCAAAGAGGTAAGAGAAAATATGCCCTGAACAAGGAGTTTAAACAATGAAGTTTTTCAACCTTGAATCAACCTATGATTGAACATGTTTTAAGTCCTGAACATTCTCAACCCTCGGGTTCTCCATTTGTAAAGTTTAAGCCAGGTAAGACCATGTAAAGAGAACAAAGTTTTCTTATGCAAAGAGATTTTCTTACCTTGACCTTCCATCTAGAAAACTGGTTCAAGGTCACTGCATACCCTCCACCCAAGGAAACTCATGAGGGTAAGCCCAATTGCGCAAATGGGAGAAAACATAAGCCCTAAACAAGAATTCTACAAAGTTTTTTTTTTACCTTGATCATTTCTTAGAAAATTGATTAAAAGTCCCTGCTTACCCTCTACCCATAGGCACTAGCGCTAGCGCTTCCTGAAAAATATGCATACGTGCAAGTCTATGTGATTTACACACGAATAATTCACACTTAACTTAAAAACATTCCTTATATGTATATTTTACATGTTTGAAAAAAAGTCAAATATACTCAGTATTTGAATTTCTCGCTGCCCTATATAATTGCATTTCTACTAACGTCGCTTTAGCCTCATTGTGACGGCATGTGAGCACGAGTTTCTCCATGTATATTTCTACGCGTGAGTATATAGAAAATGGTATTGAAATCAATTTCACCGTTGGCTTAGTAAAAAAAACAGTAAATGTGAAAATAATTGTTTATTCTTTGCATATATTGTATTTCTTATTGGTTTTGGGCAAAGCTATAAATTTTTTAAATATTTTTTTATATAAATTTGACTATTTTAAGTTAGGGAGGGGATGGATGTGTTTACCTCCAGTGGCAATGACCTGCATTATTATGTTTCATGACCAAAAGAACAAGATTAATATATGGCTAATAGAAAAGCCAAAATGTTTTGAGATATTTTATTGTTCCCTGTTTCAGGAGATATGAATGACTTCCACTTAGATACCATTTTAGGTGTTATAACTCAAGATTAAAGATTTCATTTGAGAAGGTTCCCAGATGGGGTTAAAAAATAGCACCTCCATGAACCAACATGAATATATTTATCAAATTAAAAACATAAAAAGAGGCGTTTTGGCAACATGCTTTCCAAAATGATTATATATTATGTAGGTTATAGGAACTACTGTGGGTTCTTCATTAACCGGGTAAATGGGAGAGTTATAATCAAAGAAGAATTACTGTCTGATGACAGCATCTAGTTTTTAAATATGGGTCTTTTTCATTTCAATCACCATGGCAACACCGTTCAATGAATTATTTATCTTTGTGTAGTCTACTTGTGTGCCAAGTAATATCGAAATCAGATCAAAAATGAAGGAGGATTAGCATTTTAAATTTGTTTACAGACAGACGGACGGACAACGGACACCTTACTAGCGCATATGCTTTTTAGGTCTCTGACCAGTAGATCTAAAAAATTAATAACTCGAGTATGCGAGCTATGTAATTTTGTTTTCCTGAAATTGCTGTAATGTTAATTTCCATAAAAACGAAGAAAGACATAAATTATTCATATTTATATCTATACAAATAATCATTAAATTAAAAAATTAGCAGATGAAATATTGAAGTACTGATTTGTACTGCATTGTACGTTTCATTGATGGAACAGCAACTGTTCTACCAAATCTGTATATCCTTAGCTGTGTTTACTCACTGATAAACAGCAATGTTTTTTTAAGTTTTAAAGAAAGAAAGGAGACAGTATTCAGTGAATATTAATATTCTAAAATTAACACATGCTTCCAGAATCTTAAGCACATTGAATTATATAATAATTTTACTTTAAATGCTAAGAGGAAGTCACTACAATTTAATGTTCAACCCCCCCCCCCCTCCGAGCTTTTTGTTTATTCCCAAACTGCAAACATGACCATGTAGTTCTTACTTCGTATACATCCTCAGATTTATAAGCGAGTGGTTCTATTCAGAAAAAAACCTTAGTTTTATTTAGATGAACTGGGTGATTAGTGAAGCTTTAAATGGTCCTCAATTTAAGCATTTGTTAAGTATCAATATGATGTCTATATAAAGGAAGAATTCTACGTGTCATTTCTCAAAGGGCTCACTCTCCTTGTGAAGGTAAGTCAATTCTTGAACTTCTTCGCTCAATTCATATTTGAAAAAGAAAATATGTTCCATCTCCCTTACTTCGAGGAATATATGGTTTATAAATTAAAGGTTACTTTTTATGAATGAAAATAGAAATTTGTCTTTTATAATTTGTTAAAATTAGGACGCAAAAAAAATAATGATTTTGTTAAAGCATACAAAAGACAAAAATGATTTTTAAAAAAAAATAGAATAAAATAAATAAACAAATTAATAAAATTAAATATTGCAGCTGAATATGTCAGAATTAAATTCCTTTTCTTTTAGAAATAAATATTTCATACAAACTTTTGATGCTGTTTTTGTTAAGAAAAATAAATTTGTTTCAACAAATATCTTTGGTTTTGTTTTGTTCCTTTTATGTCAAAGAAAGACAAATGTTTTTTTAGTTATAAAGGATATTTTTTTCCTCACTTTAATTCAAAACATGGTTATGTACTAGGAATTTTTGACAGTTGAGATCTGTTGGCTGCGAGTAATTTAACGAGCTAATCAATTCTTTTAATTAAGCATTGTTATTAATCAGTAATTCACTGAAATACGTATATACCTATGTACAAATTATTAAGTAAATATTTGCGAATATCGGTTGCCAGATGCTAGATATATGCAACATATCAGTGTTTTTCATTGCACTTTCTTTAAAATCATATTGAAAGCATATTATCTTGATCCATAGCAAAAAAGAAAATGAAATTATTGCAAGTTCATTAATACACACATTGGCTATCTCATATATATTAAGAAAAGTGGCTTAAAAAAGTTGTCTTTTAAAATATAAACTAAGGCATGATGATTTATACATCATGGACAATCTTCGCAATTTGGTTTTTGTCACAGTATATTTGAATACTTACCAGCAAGATTTAAAATTACAATCTCGGAAAATTAGTTTAACTGATAATGAGTCATTATTCCAATTTTTGTGATATTACAGAATATAAAAGATAAACATCAGAAAACAACGGATCGTATTCGGCGAAAGCATCAAAGTACCTTTTCACAATTGTATTGTGAGGTATATGTTTTAGAGAAACCTCCCCATAATGCGGGTTTTGGCAATATATTTCTTGCTGATTTTCAGTGACAAAGTTGCACCTTGTAAGTATGTGAAAAAATCGGTTGATGATTTTTTTTTAAAATCTCGAAACATTCCAGTAATATTTCCTCCGCAGTCTCAAATAAATCATCTTTTAAAACCTTTCATCCTTAAAGTTAAGATATACTGTATAAATGAAATTGTTAGCAACCATCTTGTTTTGAAATTATTTCTTACCTTCAAAATAAACAGATTGTGGATACAGTGCTGCTGATATTGTTTTTATTCTGGACTCCAGTGGAAGTGTTGGGTCAAAGAATTTCGAAAAGACTAAGGAATTTTTCAAGGCAATGGTAGATGGATTTCAAATTGGTTCTAAAACCGTTAGAATAGGTGCTGTGCCATTCAGTACTGTTGTACATAACACATTTCAACTTACGTCATTTTATTCTAAATCTGCTCTCAAGTCTCATATTTCTGACATCCCTTATGAGAGTGGTGGTACAAACACTGCTGATGCTATCGAGTATGCTCGAACTACAAGCTTTGGGTCGTATGGCAGAAACGATACTTCTAAAATAGCAGTCATCATAACTGACGGAAAGTCGAATGACAAATCAAACACTTTGTCTGAAGCCCAATTATTACGCAACAATGGCGTCATCATCTTCTCTGTCGGTGTTGGTGGCGGTGTTGATACGTCTGAACTTCAGGGAATGGCAACAAAAACGAGTTATGTGTTTGATGTGTCTACTTTTAGTACTTTGAATTCAATTCGAGATAAATTAGCACGAACAACATGCGAAGGTAACTGTATTTCGATAATATAAATCAATTAATTTTTTTCAAAAAATTTGAAGATAATAAACAGTGATTGATCTCCAAAAAATTATTAAACAAATATTTGAGGAGGGACCCCTGTATATTCCAGAGATGGGATTAGTCAGGAGGAGTAAGCATCTCTGTTGACCGGTCAAACCAACCTTTCAAACTTTTGCATTGAAAGAGTAGACGGAAGTTTTCGTTTTGAAAAATAAAGGCCTAACATGTTGTTATGAAACAAGTCAGCCAAAATACGACTCGATGGTAGGATATATTGACTTACTTTAAATTGGAACTTTAAGCGAGGTTGCTGAAATCTCGATAGCATTCAACTTATACTGAGTGGCATGCCTCGTTTATACAATTGTTCGCACTCAGAGCATGTTTTTGAGCTTTAGTAGTCTAAGAGAATCTTACGTTAGTCTTGAGTTCGAATCTCGGCTGCGATTGACCTAGTCGATAAAAAATGGGAATCAACATAATTTTGAATGTAGAAAGATATATACATCCCTGAATTATTTTATCATAATTTGGGTTAATTTAATTGAAATATTTAATATAAATTTATGGTATATGGTTTAGCTTTATATAGAGGAGTTATTAGACTTTTATTAAGTTATTAATACACATGTTAAGGAAACAAGGATATCAACAGTCTTGTTTGAAGTCATTTCGAAAGTTCTATGGTCAATACCTCTTTAGCAAATACAATCTATCATTAGGTCGAATTCTGACTGAGTTTTTACATACTATAAATTGTTAGACCATTATTTACACACTGAATTGTCTACGGATTTTCCCGTTATTTATCGATCAAGGAGCAAAGGACGGGTGTGACCGGTCATCGGGGGATGCACACTCCTCCATGCCCCCCTGTTGCTACGTGCCTGTGTTTATATTAAAAACCATAGCCACTATATACTGTAAAAGGTGAAGGTAACGTACAAAGATCGATCCAAGAATAACATCTATAAACAATACAGATATATGAAGAGAGCATATAACACGGACCCCTGGAAACTTTAGAGCTGGGATCAGGTGCCTAGAAGGAGGAAGCATCCCCTGTTGATCACCGGTCCCACCCGCCCTGACCCCTATATACTGATCAGGTAAACATATCTTAAATTATAAAGTGTAATGAAACTTCTTATTTACTATTTTACCCCAGTTATCACCACCTGTGATTATCCTGGCACTCCTAATAACGGTAAACTTCATGGGAGTGACTTTTCCCAAGGTGAATCTGTGACCTATAGCTGTGAGACGGGGTATAAACTCGATGGCAATCAGAAGAGGACGTGTCAAAGTGGGAAAGTTTGGTCCGGAAGTCTCCCGTCATGTATTTGTGAGTTAAGAACTGTTTCAAAATGAATGTATTTATATTATATAAAGAACAAAACCCCATCTAGAAACCCAACAAAAGACAATCAAATATGCCTTTTTCTGAATTCCGGAATGGTTTTAATATTACTTATATATTACATGTACTAATATTTATTATTATTAATATATATAAAATCTATCCAATGTTTATTTATTCATTCATTTATTTTGTTCTATAATGAATTTTATTGCTGCCTACTCAAAGCCAGGTAAACCTTGGTCTCACACAATTCAGATTTATCTCAGAAAATACGGTGTTTTATCTCCGTCGACTGCGTCTTCGTTCCATCACAATTACGAGTATTAAGCTGTATTTTCTTTTTAGAATTGCCCCTCGAAGAAAAACAAATTTAGGTGTTAACGGTGCCTGAGTGTGCAGTAAGAAATTTAAGAAATATACCTTAATTAGTGTTACACAAGCAAATTTTTATTACTTTCTATCTACTCTTTTCACCAGCTGATACTTCCTGTGGCAATCCCGGTACACCTAGTAATGGTCACCTTCATGGGAGTGACTTTTCCAAAGGTGATACTGTGACCTACAGCTGTGAGATTGGCTATCAGCTCCTTGGCGATCAACAGAGGACGTGTCAAAGGGATCCAAGGAATATACATGTAGTTTGGTCTGGAACGCTCCCATCATGCATGTGTAAGTTTAAAAAACTTTCAAAATGAAAATGTGTATATCCTTTTCTCAAACGCTGACGAGTGACATACCTTCAAATTTTTTTCTTCCGTTTATGCATTGTTGTTTTAGAAACCATAGATTTTTTTTATCTGAATGATAACGTTTAAATACGGTACGGTATAGATGAAAAACGGCTCTATTTTTATAATCACGTCATCTATTGCGTATATTACGTTGCAGTACTCTTATGAAAAATTGAAAAAAAAACACTGTCTATTACTATATTGTAACACATATATAATTATATGTAACATCACGTTTTAGTTTAGCTTGGTGTGCTACTGAAATATTGAGATTTAAAATCAAAATAAACATACTTTTTATGCGGATTATGTCATATGAAGTTTTTCTAAATATTTGCAAATATCCATACATTGTATGTAATTTTAATCTAATTTTAAGAAAATTAAACCATCTGTACTTCTTATAAACATTACTTCAATGTCAATTTTATCAAAATTTCAATGTTTTTAACGTTCATATTAGGGTTGAGGCTTTCCCATTATAAAAGTTAATGAACAATTTTAAAAAAATGATTTTTTTTTTATAAAACTGTATTTTTCGGTTAGTGCCACTGGAAGGATATTTGCCAAGAACAAAACTAAAACAAACAAAACACACACACCCTCATACACAAACAAACAAAAAAATAAAGCCATGAATGTATAAAATTTAAAAGTACATGTATTCAGTGTTTTTTTTTATTCGGCTTAAGGGGGCCGACTATAGTTTTATTGTGTGAAAACTACAATAGCGAAACTCTTCATTTTTATACCATATATAACTTACATTAACTTCAGTGTACATGCAAAGTTTGGGGGAAATCTACCGTCCAGGTATTTTCGAGGGACCGTCTCAAAATACAGGCACATTTACTATAGGATTATATAGGGAAATGCCAATTTTTAGCACTTTATAGCAAATTCTACAAATACTACAATAGACATTTTGTTCAAACTATAATATATGATGAGTAATACTATATTGTACATTATATGTAAGAAACACAAAATTATACCGTCGTTACCAGAGGGGGCATCTCAAAATGCAAAAAATTAGGAAATTTTACTATTTTTATAGATTATTACAAAATATGACGTACACATTGGATTCACATGAAAACAAAAGAAAAATATCGGAGATAATTCTCAAATTTCTATCTTTTAAATTTCAAGAGCGTATGTTTGTTACTTTTTCTTTAATAATATTTTTATTACCCCTTTCTTTAAGAGCTACAGATTATCATAACGTCAAAAACACACTGCAACGACGTCAACCTACCTATCAATTGCAAAATCGGTTAAATAATCAGTTATATCAAATTGTTATTACATTTTTATACCTATAATTTCTTAATTTTGTTTAATTTTAATAATTAAGAGAAAAAAGTTGCATTAAAACAGTAAATACGCTTCATTTTACTATGATGCGCGAAATACTGCGCAATGGAAAAACTATAGTCGGCCCCCTTAAATGGATTTTTTAGCTGACCAAACAGATTCAGGTAAACCATGGTCTCACACACAGTTGAGCTAAGTCCGAAAAAATCGCGGTGTTTTATCTCCGTCGCCCTCGCTTTCGTTCCGCCACCATTAATTCGCTTATAATTTCACAAGATTGTTACTTGAAGAAAAACTCAAACTTATGTGGTAACGGTGACTTAAGGCTGCCGTAGTTGAGGAATATATTCAGACTTGAGACTGAGTATTGATCTGATGAAAGTTGATGATGATGATACAACATATTGTTTCAAAGTCACAGAAAAATCATCTGGGATCGCTTTAATCCCCAAAAGATGTTCAATAACGACATGCTTCTCGAAAGGAATCTTCGAAATTTCCCCGATAATACAAAAACTATGACTTACTTCAGCTGTTACAGCTCCTTGCAGGCCTAAGACTTTTTGTCACAGGAGCATATACCACAAGCTTATAAGAAACAATATGCACGTATCCGAGTCCACAGTCGGGATATGCTTTCGATCTGTGAAGAACGCAACCCTTAGAGTTCGAAGGCACTTCATCAAATACAAGGGAATACATAGAAAAAACCGGTATGTTTCTGTTTTCTTTTTCCTCATTTTTCTTCTACTTTTTAATTTTAATTCGTGTTCAAGATGAATAACTTGTGCTTTGGAGTATAACTTTTTGAAACAAATTTGTTGATGGAAAACACAGGCACATGTTTTTTTTTGTCTAATATAATAATTATGGTAATAATTTATTGCAGAAACAAGTGCCTGTGTAAAATAAAAAAATATTTTTATTTATTCATTCCTTTTCCATTATCACCGATTTGTTGGGTGTGGGGTCGGGAGGGGAAGGAGTGTTGTCGGTAAAATTATAACAAAAATACCATCGGAAAGTTATTCTCACGAGAAAACTCAAATGTACATGTATGTATTTGAAATTTATAAGAGACTCTCTTAAAGAGAGACAATTTTTTTTGGAAATGATTTTTGTTTTCTTTTATTGCATGATTCTAAACAATACCCATTCACAATGGCCAGCTAACCAGGGTATGGAAGATAATCAACAACATACAATTAAAAAAACAAATATAGGAGTTGACAAACGATCAATCAACAAGCTCAACATCCACCTGAACAATTCAAATAAGGAGCAAGCAAAGACGAATCTTAAAAATCCGCAGAGGGGGAATCAATGGAGAAGTAAGCGTTCCCTGTCAACTGGCCACATCCGTCTTATGCTCTGTTAAAATCATGCAAATAAAAAAAAATCCAAAGATAGTTCAGTACGTAAATAATGGTCTAACAATTCGTATGAAAAAAAAAACGCGAGTCACCTTTGACTTAATGATAGCTTGCATTGACTTACTAGGTCATTATATAGACCATAGAATTTGTAAAATGTTACCTTGAAACAAATTGTTCAAAACCTTGTGTTATAAACAAATTTGTCAACGGCTTGCCTCAATTTTAGAATTTTTTTTATACGTAGAGACTTCTCTTGCAAGTTGAATCAACTGGGAGACATTAACTGGATATGCAGTCGATAATGGTACATTGCTACATACTGTAGAAACAAAAATTTTCGCACGGATCAAATTTCGATGATTTGTTATCTAAAATGGTGTCGTGGGCATTAAAATTCGTTGTTTCGAAAGTAACCCTTTCATTATATAGTCATATGAAAACGTCGTGTAGATTTTAATTTTGTTGATAATTGTTAACGACGAAATAACGAAATTTACTCCCAAACTGAATTTTCTGCTTTTATAGCAATTAATGTCTGTTTTGGAGTATTATATCCTAATATGAAACCAATGTCAGACACCGTTGTCTTTTAATTCGAGTTCAAAGAAACATATCGAACCACAAAAGAAAAAAAGTTTTTTTAGAGGTCTTTAATGAACCACTGTTAAAAACCAATAAAGGGAAATATGGTTAGGTTCTTTTATTTCTTTTGAAAATAGATGTTTCAAAGATAATCATAAATTTTTTCTTCGTTTGTAGAGTCAAATGACAACCGCTTTGGAGAGAGGCCATTCGTGTGAGATATTCATGTACAGAAACCAATGTTTATTAAGACTCTCGTGCTGTCTGTTTTGTTTTTGCACTAGATTCATAGAGAAGTTTTGTAAACAAAAAAAAAAAAATGATTGTCAATACTGAGTAATACCTGTTTAATCAAAACTCATTTACCCATAGAGTGCTTGAAAATTATGTGTCATTGCTTTTTCTACATTTGGGATCTATTCTCTTAAAATTTTAAGTGTCAAGATAAAATCCATTAACTATATATTTATTGTAATTTGCAAATTAAACAAGTTGTGAGTATTTTGTAATTTTATTTCTTATATCATAAAACAAATGTTACAATAATCATTGCGTTACCTAGGCTGCGTTCAAGATCGTAGCGGCTTACCTAGCGGCTGTGTGGTAAGAATATATCTTATTGAACGGACAGCTATTCTAACTGCAAAGCGGACACCCGGAAATTCTAAAGGTGGAATTATGTACCTAGGAGTAATTGACATCCCATGTTGACCGATTACCGGTACAAAGTGACAGTTCGTTTTAACGTTCGATATAAAATGCACTTTTAGTGTCCAAACTAACCCAAACACATACGACAAAACTACTCCAACTAACCTGATCGCACTTGGTAGTTTTTTCAGTAGTCCGTGTTTCTTAATATGGAAATGAAGAACAGTAGTCTAGCTGAAAAGCAGATGTCTATAATACATTTAAATTAGGGATTAATAAGATTTTTCACTGTTTGTTTTTTTCGTATTCTACTCGAAGTCATCTTATTTGATCAATGAAACTTATTTCTTGCTATTTCAATTGTAGTTTAGAAGAATGGGATTCTAATTCTACGTCTGGAAATCCAACATATACTCGCAATTCACTATTCAAGGAAGAAATTCTCGAAAATCACATTAGTACAGTGTTTAATACTTTTAATATACCAGTCAACCAAGATGAGTTTGATCTACCTGTACTGTATTTCTAAACTTCATAGAAATCCTTACAAACATAGATACATTTCTAGGTTCAGCAAAAGCTCAACAAAGCCCTTATCTTTACTCCTTAAAACATTTTAAAATGCTATAAAGGCAAAGGTTCAGATGTACTGTGATATAGCTTATTCTAGAGGTGGTGTAAACCAGATGTCGATCTTCAAAAACTCTAAAAAACTTTTAGAAGTTTAATTAAAAAATCTTATCAAAATAAAATCTAGATATTTGATATTGTAAACAACAGCTTCTGAAATAATCATAGGTACTCAAAGATTACGAAGCTCACCTCGGCAAATATGGTATAATTTTTCTTCTAAAATGTAAGTGCATTCTGAGATCAATATCCATGCAAGTATGCTTAAATTAGGTCTATAGTAACTTGAGAATGGACCTGCTTCAAAAATTTTCAACCTTAACAAGAACAATTTAATCAGTTCAAACATTTGGAGCAAGTCTGGAAATGTCAATCCTTAGGATCATCATCCATGCATATTCAATTATAACAAGCCATTAAATTCATAATGTAGTTTAAGTTCATTATTTTCGTTATTCATTTCGAAAATTTATGTCAGACTCAGCATTCAAAGCTGCTCTGGGAGTTTACATCAGTAGATAAACTATCCAAACTAATTTGGTAAAAGTATGGCTAAAATTTACTCTTCGGGAAATAAAGGTCAACGACAGCATCTGAAGCAAGTTTGGCAGTGTTCATCCTTAGAGGCATCATTACAGCAAATTTGATCTGGGTATGATTTATAGTTACTTTAAAATAGACATGCTTTAAATCAATTTAAAAGGTCGTTCATCTGAAAATATAGGTCAGATCCAGGATCCGTAACAAGTCTAGTAGTTTCCAACCATAAATTTATTATCAGTGCAAGACTTGTCTAGGAAGGATTAAAACCTTTAACCTCGACATTCAGCTGGAATATAAAGGTCAGATCCAGCATCCGAAGAAGTCTGTTGGTGTCCATCCCTAAATTCATTATCAATGCAAATTTGGTCCAGGTAGGACTTTTGGTTACTTAGTCATGTACCTGCTCCTAAAGTTAAACCCGCTCACTCATCTGGAAAATATAGGTCAGATCCAGCATCTGGAGCAAATGTTCATCCCTAGAGGCATCATTCTTGCAAGTTTGGTCTAGGTAAAGGTTATAGTTACTTGGTAATGGACCTGCTCCTAAAAAATTACCCCCCTCACTCATCTGGAAAATATAAGTCAGGTCCAGCATCCGAAGCAAGTCTTGTAGTGTCCATCTCTAGACCCATATTCGATGCATGTTTTGTCAAGGTAGGGCTTGTACTTGTAGTTACTTGGTAATGGAAATGCTTCTAAAACGTTAATCGGGACTCTGACGCTACCGTCGAAGCAAATACTGGGGTAAAGCATAAGCTCAGATCAACTTCGTCGAGGTGAACTAAAAACGGGACTCGGAAATTTTCACATCTTGTGATTGATCATCATTAAAATTATTTCGTCAAAACCACTCTGATTGAACACAATAGTATTCTGAAACTGATCTCAAATGGATGCTGGAATTTCTCATTGACAACATTTTTATATGTCTTCTGAAACCGTTTTGTTTTCCAACAAACAGTTGAAAATCCAATGGGCACTAATTGTGCTCCTTTATAAGCTGTTCCGTTTATATATATATATATATATATATATATATATATATATATATATATATATATTTATATTTATATATATTTATATATATTTATATCCAAAACTTAAATAATGTCTCAGTAATCGGATAACAATATTAAAAAAAGTAAAAAGAAAAAAGAAAACACAGAAATCCTCAGTTCAATTTACTGAGGATTTTTGTGTTTTCTTTTTACTTTTTTTTATATATATATATATATATATATATATATATATATATATATATATATATATATATATATATATATATATATATCACAAAGAAATTCACTTTTTTATAAGGATACTCACTTCCGCCCCAGCCCGGGGTTGAACTCTCGACCTACGGAATCTGTCTCCTAGCAGTACAGGAACAGCGCGTTAGACCGCTCGGCTATCTAGGCAAGTTAAAAAAGTTAGTTCAACCCCAGGCTGGGGCGGAAGTGAGTATCCTTATAAAAAAGTGAATTTCTTTATGCTTTCTATATTAATATTTCTTCACTTAGGGCAGTTTTATTAGTTTAAGAGTTGTTGTAACTTGTACTTTACAAATAAAATTAATTTCATCACAACATGTATTGGTAACGATCCTATAAAAACTAATGTCTAAATAACTGTATCTCACTTTTATTCTCAATGACCATGTAGTGTAGGGCAGCGTTGTGAGAATTCCATCGGCATCGAAGGCAAGTTTTTTTAACTTGCCTAGATAGCCGAGCGGTCTAACGCGCTGTTCCTATACTGCTAGGAGACAGATTCCGTAGGTCGCGAGTTCAACCCCGGGCCGGGGCGGAAGTGAGTATCCTTATATAAAAGTGAATTTCTTTGTGCTTTCTATATTAATATATATATATATATATATATATATATATATATATATATATATATATGAGATAAGGAAAACACGCGATGTTGCGTTCAATTTAACATTAAGATATATCGATGATGTTTGATCAATTATTTAAATTCATTCATGTATCTACCTGACATATCCCAGTGAACTTCAGATAAGACACAACACAGAACCCGTCAAGCTGTTTTATATTTTACTGACTATTTATTGATTTCAATAAACAACTAAATTAAATGACAAACTTCAGTTTTCCATCGTCAACTTGCCTTCTTTATAAAGTAGTTATCAACACTATCACTTTTATTCTGACCTTTACCCGGCACTTAGAGCCATTGATCATTGAGGGGTCTTCATTTCGCAAACGCCTTCCGTGACTCCTCCAAAAGCTTAAACGCATGTAAATTGTTTATATCTGTTATAAAGAACTTTAATAAGAACTTTTACCTATCTATAACATTTCCAATTACGTATTTTAAATAAGGAAATACTTAATTTTATGTTGTGTTTTTCTTTATATCTTGAGAGTTGTTTATAAACATGTGTTCCAGTATTAAAACCTGAATAATTAAAGCATCATCAAAAGCTTATTATGTTAACAAAAAGTACTGTGAACAATGAGTGTTGTACAATGACATGTTGTTATAAAGAATCTGTGAAAGTATTATTAAACTTCATTCAGGAGTTGTGGATAAGAGATGGGTATCCTTCAGTTTTATAGAAAGAATGACACTGACCATGTTTTGCTCTGGGAAACAAAAGATGTTTTGGTTCAAAAAGTAAAATCAAAGGTGCACAATGGCATTATGAAACAAAGTCTCTGTGAAAGTCTTGTTAAATTTAATTCAGTGGTAAAACAGGACTTGCGGATAAGAGATGGGTATCCCAAAGCGTAACGGACGGACGTACAAACGGACGAACGGACATCCAAATCACTATATAACCTCCCACTTTTAAAGCGGGGGTATAATGATATCTGTAAAGAACTACAGAAAGACGTGAAATGTTTTCTTGTAATCTAGTAAGACTGGGGAATTGGGTTTCTCTGTGTACAAGCCGTTTATTAGTGATGCCTGCCATGAGTTTAATCAAATTTAGTTCTTAGTACCAGAGCCAAAAGCGGCACATTGTATGGTTTGTAAGTCTATGACAGAGGAAGGCCTAAAAAATTAAAGTAAAATTTTACGTTTTTTGTAGATGTGATTAAAACATTAATGGCTTAAAGAGTCCTGCAGGACTTGTAGACCCGTTATTTATAAGTTCGATTTAGGTTGGAAAAGCAAGAACATAAATAGAGTTAGGATAAAAAATTAATGTTAATGTAACGACAAGATTATTTTTATTTTAATATTTTGTTTTCTATTGTCGTTATTTTGATCTTCTAAACAAGTTTACCCTAAAATTGGGTCATATTTTAGCTGTCATGATTGATTTCGATTGTAATGCCTTTGTTTTTATGGGGAACTCGACTACTAAATACCCCATTCTGATCAATACATAAATCTCACGGTGGGTAAACCGGTCAACAGGGGAAGCTTACTCCTCCTAGGTTCCTCTTGCATTGTTGGAGGTCTGTGTATATGGCGTGTTTACAGACTTGTATTTATTTTTTAAATTTTTTTTTAAAGATTATCTTCCCATTTTTATTTCTATCAAGTATTCCTCTAGTAGTATGTCGTATGATTGGTTAATAGGAAAATGAAGGTCAAGACCTTGGCACTTAGTCAGATCTTTTAAATACCCCCACGAAATATATAATTAAGTTTAGTTAACTGTAGTTTACTATGTATACACTTTTTTACCATAGTTAATCAAAATATTTTTAATGTGGACATTGAATTGATATTATTTTAACATCTCCAACTTACATAAGCGCATTTTTGATATCGATTACCCTCTATACACTACGTTGAAAAATATTATTATAAAAAATATATATTGATTAAATACACATTAGGAAAAATATATAGTAGATTATCATATATAAAGGATGTACAACAAAGGTCAACTTGAAAGGAGATTTCGAACTATTAAATTATTTCTTTTTCTTTCAAACAGGTATTGCTTTGCAATAAAAAGAAATCAAAAGTTAAATATATCTTTGTTGTTCTGAAAACAAGATTTCAGTTAATAGGAACTCCATTATCGTCCAGCTTCCTTATTGTACACAGAGCCACAACATGTTCTTCCTGTTCATCAAAGTTAAAGGCCTCCGTCTGACAGTCCTTCTTCTGAACCTTGACGCTTCCATCTCCTAATCTATCAATTATATACGATCCACATAACAATTGACACTATCCACAAATATTATGAAAAACAGAAAAATATTCAGTGTGTGAAAAGATTCATCATTTATTCCTGTACTTACTTTAGTTCCAGTTTTCTGAATTTAAACACTAATACAGTTACCAGGGCAACAATAACTATGAGTGTACCGATGCTTACTCCAACACCAGTGTACAATTCAGCTGTCACAAAAAATTCAGAAGTATCAATACTGTTTATAACAGAAAAATAATTGCTAAATTGAAAGCATTTGATTAGAGGCAATTTGCATCTTTTAGATGAGAAACTTCTTGTTTGTAAATGGTATGC